CGGCGGCTCGATTAATCGCCCGGTACGAACAATCGACGCGCTCGGACGTCGCGACGCGTTATTCCACGTGTCACCATTAATCAATCGCCAATTAATTATGGTAATTGACGGGCAGGAGGACCCGTTAATTCGTCGCCGCGATTATCGCGTAGAGATTAGCGCGACCATCATTTTGATAGAAATGCAGTCGATTATGAAGTTTTCAGCTTTAGGCAAAGTGCATTGTTAAGAATGCGCGGTGAGGCTGTACTATTTATGTACGTGATTTAGATACTTGATACGAAGCGACAGATAAGCAAGATATATTAAGACAAGAACATATAAGAAATATTGCTCTCTAGGTAGGAGACTGCACCGCAATTATTTCTACGTTTCTCCGTCTGGAATTGCGTAATGTAAATTGTTTGTTGCACTCTACGCTGATATTCCTGCAAGATTATTAATAGCTTATCTCCGATAAACTTTCCTTGTGACGTGAATGATAAATAAGAACTCTCTAATTAGTACTCTGTTCCGCATGTTGATCATTATATCTGAAGCGAATCGAGTGATAAATGCAATGAAGAAAATCGATTTAACATTCTTGACATACGTTGTTATATTAATTAGTAATTACCTTCTCATCTCATAAATAAGTAAACATTTTATTTTGCGAATATTGGTGCTTCTAGTAGATGTTAATTAATCAACATATACTACAAGTTTGTCCTGTGTTCATTAAATTATGAAAATTATATTTTTGCATTAAAAATGTTTTATTGTTATGTTTATAATTATTACTCAACTCGTTATATAATTTTGTTACGTAATTTTGATATAATTTTAATACTTTGATGCTGCTTTATGCAATTTCGTCGCAGTTAATTTTTTGTTTTTAACGCTTGTTAACAATTGTTATATGATTTTATGGAGGATATAAAGTTACATGCAGAAAACATGAATATCGTCGAATGCACAATATAAGTTTTAATTTTTTTAACGCCAAAAATCTGTCAACCAAATGGATTCATGTGCTATGCAATTACATTGATTAGTTGAGAATATCTGGCCGTACTATCAACTGCGAACGCGCAAATAATCTTCATTTAAGTGATTTTGGTCCTGGGAAAAGTTTGAAAGAAAGTAACCGAAGGGGATCTTCCACCACGCCGGAGAGTTCTTTTAATTAATTAATTAAGAGTTTATCTCCGCGCGCGCGCGCGCACGCGCGTCAAGAATTTATCGTTGTGATCTAATTAACAAACCTGAACTCGTTTGGTGTGCCCTTTCGGGATTTATTTATCAGAAAATATAAATGTTGATTTTCTCGGAGATTATTTGCCCATGAATTGAATTAATAAAGGAGGCTCTGTCTCCTTGGTTGACGCGACGTAAAATGTGAAATAACGGGAATATTAATTAATAGTTTACCTTGCCACTACTAAATAAGTTTGCAGTCGCTGTAAACCAATTAACTGCTGAACAGAAATAAGCGCTAGTGCTCTCTGTATTTGCATTCCAAATGTAAAAACAGTTTTTGTGTCGGTGTAGAAATAACTCGAAGAACTGTCTGCATCTTCTTGAGGAATTGCATTGTCAACTTATATATAAATGTATATTTACATAATATTTATTACGAGCATATGCATTGCATTATGTGTATTTTTTAAATTTTAATTGTATTGTAATCAATTACGAGTATTAAATTATCTCATCTTTTATGTTTTCAATTCTTATCTTATTATTTGACTGTACAGGCAATAAGTAGACATTAGCCATTAAGTATTAATAGTTTTTTAGTAATTCAATGAAATTGACATTTTTTGCCAAGGTATATTAACGCACGTTTATAAAAATTTATAATTATTATAAAATTAAAAGAGAGAAAGATTATTCTTGCGGTTAGTCGCGTCATCATCGTGAGCCCTCAGCTTGAAAAAAGCGGCTGTTTTTTGCCCTTGCTGCTGAGCCCAACTAGCGAATAATTAGTGAGATTAATTAGCGAAATGTGGGACGGATTGGCAGGTGCTCGCGACAGGATTACGTGCGGCGATTTAATCCGCTTTGACGGCATCGTACCCCTTCTGCCGATGTGCGAAATGCAGTCTGACAATTGGCGGTCGTAAAAAAAACTCGGTGGGTGCTTTCGAGTCGAGGATTATGAACAATACCGCGGCGATGGAAGGAGCATCCTGCCGGACAAAGGAGCGAGATCGCTCGATTCTTCCGAACGAAGCCGGTGATCCCCGTTGCTTCGTTCGCAATTATTTTTTTTCCCTTTTCCCTCCCGCCGTTTTCCCTTCCCCGCTGTATAAATGGACGTCGCGATTAAACGGGCGGACGGGAATTGTTCGGACTCATCGCGGCCGAACAAAAGCCGCGTCTCGTATTTTTATTTTCGCCCGATGCCCGGCACGTTGTTATCAGGTGGCGGCAGCGACGGCGCGGGTTCAGTTCGGCGACGCTATAGAAATGAGCTTGAGCGGTAACGAGGGAGAATGCGTAGAGTTGAAGCTGCGTAGCTTCGTGGAATTTTGTAAACCTTTGGAATTTTGTAGACCTTTTTCATAGCTCGCTGTATTGCGCCTAATTTGGACCTTACAATTTCCTTACGATACGATGAACATAGAAAATATATACAAACGTGAGACTATAACGGAAAAAAGTTGGTTCATTAAAACAGAACGGGGGAAAAATTGTGTGGCATATACATATATGAGTTATTCACCTGCATGAATTTTTAATTTTATGGTTTCTTGCTTTCTCAGATTCTCGGATCATTCACTATAATTTGCGAAAATGTATATACTTAATATCTTTCAATTTTCAATATTGAATAATTGTAAAAGTAATCCATCTTAAATTCACAAGTTAGTTTCGTGTTTTCTAATGCGCTTCGTATAAATTCTCTATCTCATCGACTTTATAGGACCGTGATACTTTTAAGATCCACGATTTGGGAATGAAATTTGAGTCAGTGTAAAAATATAACTCGATTCAGTTGATCCTTTCATCCTCGCGCGACTCTCTCCTCTTTTCGTCCTGCGCGTAAAGTCACCCGCGTCGCTTATCCACTACGACTTAATCCTTGAGCGACGAGCTGTATTAATCATTAAAACCGACAGCCGCGCAGATACGAGGCTTTTAGCGATGAATGGCGTCGAGTCGACCTTAAATCTCAAATCGCTCGTAAGTATCGCCATCGCCAGAAACTTGCAGAATGTGCGAGGCTTTTAACTGCCGCATCCCGCCTTCTTGGTTGAATACCAGACCCTCTGTTCGCTATACACCTTACCCCGCCCTTCGCCTCAGCTCGGTTCCACCCCTTTCTTCACCCTTTCGCGCAATCGCGAGATATATATCGGCAACCAACTCTGGACTGTGAAAATGCACCTGACCTCGATATCTCGCTTCTTTATCTACCGGTTCACCGTTCCTTTACCAGCGGTAGCTGGAAGGGACTAAATTACAAAGAAACCACGAGAAATCTGAATCTCTATTCTCTTAGCAAGGAGTCACGAGCGAACGAGCATTAGCTTACGCCGCGAGTCTTTCATGCGAAACCTGTTCACACATTATTGAAGATTATCTGCTTGTATATGTGGAGAAATCTATTTTTGTAGTACATGGCTATCTTACAATTAGATGGACAGTATCTAAACTTATTAATATTTAGCACGCACCATACATATATACTTACAAAAGAAAAAGCGCTGTATTGAATTAAATAGAATTATATACATACATATGTAAAATAATCTTGTTTTTTCTTTTTGACTCTCTGAAAAAAAAAGAGATTGATTTTGAGATAAAATATATTTCGAATCAGCTAAAGTGCCTATACTAACCGTAATTCGAACAAAGGTTTGTGTCACTCAAAAATAGCGAGCTATTCGCGGTATCATCAGCTGATTGATGCGGGAGATTAAGCCGCGCCACGTGTGTCAATATGCCCGTGCGATAGTTTGATAGTTTTCGAATAGTGATGGAATGAAAACATGAAAGAAAATCACCAATTTCTCTGAACATTTCTTTTCTTTTTATTAAACATAAAACATGTGTGATATTCATGCGATATAATATAATATATATTATAAAATTTAGGTACGATTTAATCTTTTCATTTTGAGATGTATGAAATTTATATATATAAAATTTATCTTTCTTTTAAAATCTTACTAGTACAACCTTTAATACGAGTTAGAATGTAAATTAATAACTTTCAGTTCTCTACCATGAACTCTTATGGACTTTTAAAGACTCCCATCTTTCGCAACTCGCAAATCCAAACTTAAAACTTTAAAACAATCAGACGTGCAGACTTTCAGTAGTCGCTCCAAGTGTTTAAAGTAAATGCGTGCCTCGAGGCAGATGTTGGATAGGAATAAAATAATTGGTTTTCTGCCCAGTATGACAAGAATATTCGGTTCGGTGCGCTGTGAAGACTTAGGTCGGCAAGAATCACAGGCATTACAGTTTGTAAGCCCTGTTTCTCCGTGCCTCTAGTTAGCACGAAGCTTACAGAAGTTTGCAACAACTCGCTTAAATGGCGTCCTCGTAGCCAGCTAATTCTTTCGGTATCGGCTTATAGGTATTTCTTCTGTTCCTCGCTTCGTGACAGGGATCGCTTATTTCCGCCAGTTACTCTTCGTCAAGTTCGCGATACGCCTCGCACAAAGGATTAATGTCGCCACGCGGTGATCCTTTCGCCGGATATCCCGTTATTGTCGTAGCGTAACCTTCGGTTTCTCGTAAAGGAGTAAAGCAGTTGCTGCTGATGCAGCGACGTTTCGTAAATATTATGCTAACGTAAAATTGTGTTATTATTCAAGCAGGAAGTTTAAGCAAGTTTGCTGCACCAGCGAGTATCGATCTAAATTGTTGCGATAATAATGTTGCACCCAGCGCGCATATTTAATTTAATTTTTTATACGATAATAACGCTGCAGTAATTATGCGGAAATGGACCGTACCCATTCCACAATAGTCTTATCTTCATTGTTCTCTCTTTGTTGTTGCAGATCGGTGGGCCAACGAGGAGATAAGAACCAGGCCATCCTTGAAGGTAAGGATCTCGTTCTTGTTTCAAGTCCTTCCCTCCAAGTCGAAATTCAAATTTCTAGCTAACTCTCTGCAAGAGCTAGATATCTCGGTAAACTAGCAAGACTTTGCCGCATTGGAAACTCGAAATTACTATTGTTCTCCGGTCTTCACGACTCTCGGCGCACCGATTATTATAATTAATTATCACTACGGTGAAAATTTGCGTCCTGTCGACAATTCACGTAAAGCGCGTACACGGCGCGCAGCGCGAGAAATCGCATGAACGCACAGATCGCGTTATTCGATTCGCTCACTCGCGAAAAGCTTCGCGAGGAACGGCAAAAAGCCTGAGAGTTAAGCTCGCGAGACGTGGAAACGCAAGCTTTGTGACGTCGTCTGATACGCGCGGGAATGTAGATGCGAATGCACCATGCGGATGCAACCTAGCAGAATTTATTTCAACGTGGCTTTAATTTCAAATTTACAAGGATTTCTATATTGAAAGTGCAGGTAACAATGACAATAACCGTTGTCCCGTGAATAACCATTCGTTTTTAGTTTGCGTTGTCAGATATGTCGACGAATATACTATTTGAATTTTTACGTATAAAGCGGAGAATCGACATCTGTCAAGAAAGTCATTGAACACGTCCCAAATGTCAGTAGATTGCTCGTTCGACCATAAAATTGGATAAGAAAGATTAGAGTCGCAGGAGCGCACAGATATTAATAGAGACTTTTTGCTGAACCATATGACGCGCTTAGATGCTTACCGATCTTTTTTTTTCATCTATTATTGACGTTGTCGTGCTAAATGCAATCGCGTTAGAACGTTTTATTCGTGTCAGAGATAAGAGATATTATCGCTGCGATAATTAATCAGAACCCGAACTGATTGCACTTATGCTTTCTTCGGAATTGACGAATAATGATCTGTGGAATCGCAGTCTCGATTTACATTCCTTATCCTTTATAGCGCATTTCTGTCTTTAATATATATAGATATAAAAGATATTTAAATATTTGGCAATAGATTGATTAATAAAATCAATAGTCAATATGGGAGAATATACGATCGGGCATAGTTAACAAGTTATATATATATACCGAAAGTATATAAAATATATGTTTGAAGGTATTTAATTCATTTAAAATCGCTTTACGTTATGTAATAAATTTAACAGATAGTTATACGTCAGGGTTGTTTTGTTTCTTTATTGATTCTTTTAATGTCTGATGGTATTTTACAACGAACAAGCTGTGAATAAAGAGACACAGGCTGGTTTCACTCGCGCGTCATTCGCACGAGATACGATATCGTGTTCTTTTGATAAAATAACGTTTTGACTACACCGCATGTTTTCGACTATTCGCTGTCGAAATTTGTCAAGATATTTCAAATCTGTGTGCAGTATTATACTTTAGTTATTTCATAAATTATGTTTAGAACAGAGAAAAATGCTAGAGAGATATTACAGACCCATACACAGCTAAACGATTTAATTAAATATAGAACAACCCCACATGTATGATGATATGTGGAATATGAACAAAAGCTCCGTAATTTTCATTAAATCAAGACTATTAGATTATGGAGTCCGCCGACTTTTGGTTCTACCTAAAATGGAAGCGCGGTCGGGCACAGATATCCCGTATATCTGCGCATAATCCCCAAGTTACAAATTCTATTAAGCGAGAGAGAATGGAGGAGCGACTGACGGATTAAAATTACCGAGTGTCTTATTAAAAGGAGAGATTGCGCTCTCACGCTCTTCCTTCGGTCAAATAATACGGCGCTTTGCTGAGAAAAACTTTTGCACTTGATCGTACAGTTCCTAATTAGATCGATCTTTTTAATGAATTTTAGAAAAATTTTATAGATAAAACGCACACACATATTTACTATCTATTTTTATAAAACGATTTAACGTTGAGATTTAACGTTGTCAATTTCTCAAATATTTATAACAAAACAGTAAAATTTCTTCTTGCCAAAGTAAAATTCTGATTTAATGGCGATGTGACGCGTATCTACGTCACTTGAGCATGACAAGTACATCTGCACGCAGTTTTTGCGCTTCAGTCCCGGCTTTAATTCGTGCATTCTCCTTTTTGTCATACTCGGTGGAGAAGCGAGACCCTTAATTACAGCTGACCGAGCGGCGATTAAACTCCGCTAATTGTCGACACCGATGACGCCGGACTCCGATAAGCGCTGCGCCATTCTGCAAGCCTGCATTGGTCGAGATACGATTCTACCTCGGGTTTCATTTAATCGATAAACGGAATATCCGTTTCTTTGATCAATGTGGTAATAGCTCTGAAAAAATAGGCATAGATTGGAACTAGTAGATTTAAATCTCTGCTGTAAAACCCTAATCCCAAAGTCGCTACAGAACACATCTTTTTGAAGCTTATTGCGTTTCTCTCGTGAGAAATTCTGTCTCGAAACGACTCAAGGTGTACAAGATGTAGCGATATGGGCCGCAAAAGAAAGAGACCAGAAGATACCAGAAGAGAGGGACGGGAAATGCGATGGTGGGCATCATGGACGGGAGATAGCGTTATCAGAATTGCCTTCGGGAACTCCACTAATTTTAACTAACAGTGGAAATATCGCAAAACTTTTGAGCGGCGAGCCCTCTCGCCAAACAATTTATCTCTCTATCTCTACGGGAGATAGATAGAGAGAATCGGGGAGAGGGATGGGAAAGAGAATGAGAAAGTTGAAGGAAGGGAAGAGGAGGGAGAGAGAGGAAGACAGTTTCGCGCGCCCTTGCCTGTAGCCTCTTACTTATCCACTCGCTTTGCGGTTAAGGTGGGAAGGGGGTGGGATTGAGGGGGGGAAGGCGGACTTTAGTACGCCTTTAAAGTACGGTATAACCCTGGAAATTATAGCACGCCACTGGCGCAGTATGCTCGGCGCGGTGGCAACTTAATAAGCCGATAGGATACGATCTGCTCGAGCGGGGAGACCCGACCGGCGCGGCGGCGCGCGACGCGCGGCGTAAGCTCTCTCGCGCTAATTATTTGCGATTATGACTTCGCTGCGGCGAAGTGATCGCGCGTGTTGATACCTCGCCTCGCCTGTTATAAATAGCCCCACGGCGACGTTTTATTTCATCAGATAGTTTTTCGCCGGGCATTAATCTTGTTTCGGTGTAATTTGTGGAAATACAGTTCTCGCTGTAAATAAATGTCTTGTACAATTACGTTAAAATCTTCTCGCGATAGTCGCATTTACAGACCAACACGGTTTAGGCCACTTTCTTGACTTACAGTTAATTCATTAATTCTTTCCACTTTTTCACCTGTTTCATTCGCTCAGCATAACGTAATGTAATTTATCGAAATTATTATCATAGATTGTTATGTTATTATCTCGCGATCGTAATTTGTACTTGCATTTATCCCATGGCGTCTAAACCTCCACAATCAGCTCATTCGATCGAGTCCTGAGAAGCGTACCTATATATGTACCGTTATTTTATTATGACGTGGTACCTAATGACGGTCGTATCGCACAAGGGTGAAACTTTGAATACCGTAATTACCAGCTCGAATTTCCCGCAAGGGACGATAAAGGGCTCGTCGAACTTTTTATACCGCGTATGCAGATCTCGATGTTATACGCTGTAACACGGGCGGGTTAACGTTTACCACTTCACCTTCGTCGTTCCGTCATCCTCCGTACAAGTGCATGTCGTTGATATAAACGGCCAGTAGATATGAACCTGACGGGTTGCATTAACTACGCGCTATAAGAAGGCCGCTATTGAGTTTTGCGGCAGTTTATCGCGACCGTAACTAGAGCGGCTTTATGCTTCGCTGATAAGCCCGCGAGATGATGGCGTATGTCATCTCGTTTCTACGACGGTTATCGTCGCGATGGTTGGATGAACAGACGGAATTTCTCCTGACAAATCTCATAACAAACTGAAAGTACTGAGATGTAATAACTAAGAAATACAGAAATTAATTGGATCGATAAAGAATATAAATATCTCGCAATATTGATAACTGTCTTTTAACAATAGCATTTCACACTTGTATAGTTTTGTAATCTTATAAAATATGATGTTTAACATAAGTTTTCGAATATAGGTATGCGTAATCTATAGGTATAGGTAAAATCTGTTGTTTTTGATTTTTAATTTTTCTTGTCGAATTTTTTTATTGAAAAAGAGACAACGTCAATTGGTAGAAAATGTGCTCGTGGAATTTTAACTATTTATTTTACGCTCGATAAACACGCTGTATAAACACAACCTATTAAAGATTAAAACGCATTTTTCCATTTGTATTCAGGTGTGTTCGATTTTCCTGCCGTTTAGCATAGCGTGGCCAAGAATCTTTTTTTTTACATTAACAGTTGGAGTTGTTAGTAGTAGCTTAAATTCGCGATTTAATTGAAAGCTCATGCGGAATTCCACGTACCTGCGTACCTAAGCGATGCTCGTCGCTGAACTTTTTTAATCTGAGTAAAATGTTTACAAAGCGGTTTGCAAGCGGTTTTACATCTATTTTCTTTTTTTGTTGGAGAAAGAGAGGCGAGGGAAAAGAGAGGTGTATCGAAAACGAGAAGCAGTAAGAGGGGGAGAGAAAAAGGGACAGGAAATATAGCGATTGTGTCTTTTGATGACGGTAAACACCATGCAGCGTTTCGTGCAGTTTAGAAAATTTTTTCGCTCGAACAAGGCAGAGATATTCGTGTGCAGCGATTAAAGCGAAGAGGAAGCCGTCGGATATGTCGGCTTCCTCTGCGTTTTAGCGAAAACTGGGATCTATATTAAATCCTACTAGCGGCTTGTGTTGATTTTAGCATGGCGCGGCCGACGCGGCGGTCGTTCGGTTTGCCGTAGGAATTGGCCGGACTGAAAAAGCCAATCCGCTTGATTGCGGCTCCGAAAATGTCCGTTCGCGGTGGCCCGTCTCACAAAATTCGATCGACAGGCGACGAGTGATGGGAGCCTGCAAAAGTTTTATTAGATTATTTCACGCGAAACGCCGCACGGTTTTATC